GGGGGGGGGGGGACAGTCTCCTGCTGGCCAATAAGGAGACAGCTCATTTGATCTCTTGTAAAGTGTCCTTGGGAACGGATCCTACTTCCACCCAACCCGTTTCGTTGTTGTCGGCATATGCAAATGGGCCTCTGGGTGAAAGCAGGGTTTGTTTTCTGGACCGAGAGTCAGGACATTCAAGTGGGATCAAGGAGGGGAGCTCAGCTTTCTGTGCTTTCAGGCTCCCGGGGGGCCGATAATTCAGTCGAATTTCACTGTCAACACTCTAAAGAGGGGAAATTAACTTCAGGAGCGGGCAACGTGTGTTCTGCCAGCCGTTGTCTCCCTGACAGTTGTTCTGTATAACCTGCTTTCCTTGCATGTCCACCGATGGAAGTATATGGCCTGAAACGAACGTTGTATTGGGGACAAAAACTTAAATAATACAAAAACCGCTTTTAAAAAATACCAATCAAGTCTTAACATCACCGAGAAATAATAACCAAACGTAGGCTAGTACCTCCTATCTTTTAATATCTAAAAGACGACTTTAGTATTAAAAGATGTAAGATACCATGAGAGAGCTATAAAGGACAGGTCATCCATGGCCTCCTACACCGGAGTGAAAGCCAACGGTTACAATGATCTCCATGCAAACGTGGCCTGGTGCTCCCCCTCCTCTGTGACCTCAGGCCTCCTACTCCCTGCTTTTCTTAGCTTTTCGACTTATTTAACTTGCCCGCGGTCTCTCTCTCTTTGGGCTGTAAGCTTTAGGAAGGTGCAGACCTTTGTTCAGGGCTATTACCGCAGTAAGCGTGCGTTCAATAAGTACGTGTTGAGTGAATAAATGAATGAGTCAATGGATGTAACTTGTCAGAAAGGCTTGACTTTTGTTTCCAGGAACAAAGATTTAAAGATTTCTTTGGGGGTAGCTCTGCTGCTCAGCACAAGCATTTTTTTTTTCCATTCTCCTTACGCAGGCTCTTGGCTACGGAGGGTCAAACTCCTTGTCACCAGGACTCAAGTGCTGGCAACTGCAGAAGGCCACCACAACAGAATGTTTTTTAGGTATGATGGCAGAGGCCCAGACCCGGGAGATGCTCACCCAACCTGCTCCCCCTTGGTGGGCTCACAGGCACCTGCTACCTGCAGCCCTCCGCATCTCAGTGGGCCGCGGGGCCAGCGGAAGGCAGGCGGAGGGATGCGTGCCTCCTGGAGACCTGGCCCTAGACGGGTCCTGCAGCTGTCTTCCTGCTCTCTCCCCACTGGCCCGCCGAGTAACGAGGCGTCAGTGGAGGGATTCAAGGCCACAAAAGGTGGAGCCAATGGATGGAAGCAGCCTGGGTCCCCGAATGACCGTGTGGGTCTGTGCTCCCCTCCCCCCACCACGCAGGACTGCACCGAGAATGGGAAAGAAGCCCGTGCCCTGCGGTAAGCCAGAGATTTTGAGGTTAAAACGGCAAGTGTGACTTTCTCCGATACGGATACGAAGGCCATTGTATTAGAAAGCGCCATGTTAGGCAGCAGCAAGGCACTTGGTTATCTGCCATGTGTCACATTCCCAAGAGAAACTACATTTGCCCTTTTTTTTTAGCTGGAAGCTCAGCCTCACTGGACTTGGTAGAAGTGATAATGAACTGCCACGGGTGAGATCGGCGGAGGTGGGGAGAAGCCATTCGCGCCCTTGCTCAGGAACAGCGACTGTGCAGAAAGCAGGCTGCTTTCTGCAGACGGACGAAAACGTGGCGGCCACTGTCGTCACCAATGTGCGGGGGGCTCTCGTGTGCAATGCGACCGCTGCACCCTGTCTACACTCCAGGACGTGCCTTTCGGTTTAGGTGTTTGTGTCCAGAAGATAATTTCTGTACATACTAAACATAACCCACTCTCATGGGGGGCGTTTCTCCGTCTTCCACGTGGGCCAGGGCGGCAGAGCCAAAGCGTTCACACTGGACCACAATAAACAAGCATGAAAACACAGCGACACGTTACCTGCCCAGCCAGCATTTCGTACAGCAGGACGCCGTAGGCCCACCAGTCCACGGATTTCCCATACGGCTGGTAAGCGATTATCTGTGGGGAGACAAATACATCGATGACATTCAGGGGCAAATCGGAAAGCCTGTGTTGGAACAGGTAAGTCAAGCCCGTGGGCATTGACGCGGTTTGTAAATGAGGGGGCAATGATGTGTGTCTTTGATTCACCAAGGGAAGAGCGCCCCTCAAATAGGGCACACGGAGAAATGTCGCCCCACGATCCGCTGCCTGAAACCTGTCTGGAACTCGTTTTCTGAACCCCCCGAGATGCCACAGCTCTGTCGAGGTCGATTTAATTATCTTCATTGGAGAAAAAGATTGGGACGCTGAGGAGGATTTAACTTTTGGTCATTCAAAATTTGGGTCTCATGAATAAGAGAACCAAGCAATGCAACAGAACTTCACTAAAAGTAATGAAAATGATGATCATCATCATAATAATGAAGAGAAGGAGGAATGATTAAAGTAAAAATTCCAGTTTTCTTGTGTTCCACAGACGTACAATGATATCTCTGCGGAGTGACCGAAAGGTCAAAATGCTTTAAAAGAGACATAAAATATAATCATCAAAGGTAACATTTGGACCTTGTCTGATCTTGATTCGAACCAACCAACTGTAAAAAAGAAAGTGGGGAAGTTTAAATGTGGGCTTGATATGGGGTGATATCAAGGGATTACTGTCAATACTGTTAGGCAGGATAAATGATACGGTGATTAAAGAGCGCCCTTTTCAGTTAGGGATGAGTGCATTTTAGAGTGAAATGGATGAGAGGTGAAGAATTTATGGCTAAATGACTTCTCAGGTTGGTTTTAAACACTTCAGTAAAATAGGTGGGGGGAGGAACAGATGAAATGAGTTGGTGACATGCAGGCAGCCACTGTGGGTGATGGGGACCTTCCCTCTCCTCCGCCCTCTCCACCTCTGCGGCCTTCGCAGCCCTACAATAATTCCGCAACCTCCCCCTTGCGGAAGGGCGTGATGCTCACTTGAATTTCTAAGTGTGGCTGATTTATTAAAACACTGGCTTTGCTGCCTCGCAGGCAGGCTGGGGACCTAACACACACAATTCCCAGGCCCGTGGATCACGCCCCAGGATTCCAGGTGGAGACAGACTAACAGGTACTCGGTGGGACTGTTCTGCCACTTTGCACATGAATTAACTTGGAAATGCTCTGGGGTATTTTTATTGCTCCACTATGTCTAATGAAACGTCCTGGGCCATGAACAAACTCCCTGCCCGCCTGCCCGTCAGCGCTTCCTCCCTGAGCAGTGAGAGGTACAGGCTCCGTGGCTCACTTCAGTGAGGGCGACGGCAAGGGGGTCTGGTTGGATTTGGTGGCTCTGTGGCTCATCTCCTTGATAAGAAAATGACAAACAAAGGGACCCACAAGGAGGCCTTCATTTCTTTTTAAAACTGCATTTGTTCTTTTCTGAAAACTTGGAAAACACACACAGAACACCAAAAAACCCTACCAAAGTGAGTCTCTAATCTGTTACCTAGTGACCTGAAGTGATGTCCCTCTAGACCCCAGACAGGAAACCACGGGGTCAGGCCTGTCTTGCCCGAGTAGAAGCACCACAAAAACTGTCTCTGGGGGAATAAAAGTGCACCTGCCGAGCACTTACCATTCCCCCAGTGCTCTCCACACCTTTTGTGTAACTCAGTGGGACAGAAACGATCATTGTTCCCATTTTACAGTGAGAAAACCGAGGGGTAAGAGTTTGGGAGACTTGCCTGAAGCCATCGTTAAGATGTGGGGCTCGGAATATTGACACATTTGTTTTAAAAATGCGACTTATGGCTTTCAAATGCATGCAATTGCTCCCACTGGGATTAATAAAATATTAATCAAAGGGCTTTGAGGATTAAAGAGGTTTGAAATCATTTCACTTTAGTAACTATACTTCAAAAGCATGTGCATAAAACTTGTTCTGGTAACTACATTAAAAGCGGTCCCTGGGGTCTATTCTCAAACAACTGGCATTTCAGTAAGTTCGCTTTTACCACAGGCAGAGCCGGGGCGCCATGGCGGTGTCAGACTGTGACGCCGAGGACTGGTGGGGGCTGAACAGGATGGTCACGCTTTATTTCATATCCAATATTCTGCCAATATCCGCGCCGTCTTATCAGCCAGGCCCTTCTCCGTGGGCGGTGGGAAATGCCACCAGAGCGTGGAAAGCTGTAGGAAGTCAAGGGCATGGAAACCCTGCTTCTGGTCAGAATGAGTCACAAATCCTAAAAGCCACGGAAACCTGAAGTGTTTTTTTTTTTTTAACTTTATCAACGTTGGTCCAACTTGCTTTTCCTTTTCAGTTCCCACAGCATTAAACTCCATGACTCCTGCTGATAACACCCTCTCCTTCCCTGCAAAAACACAATGCCACGTGCCAAGGCTCGTGTCTCTTGGGGATAGAAATCGTCAGTCCCTAGGGCCCGCCAGCTCGGCCACTGCACCGAGAATAGAGCCACTCCAGTCACAGCAGCAACTACAGCAAGAGGATGGGATTCAGAATTTGGTGGGAGCATTTCCTCCCGGAGAAGCTCCCCACCTGTCACCACGGCTCCTGCGCTCGGTGAAATGGGACATTCTGAAGATCTAAGTCACAAAACCCGGGGGGCAAACTTACCAACGCAAATTCACTTTTAGCACAAAGCATACTTTTCTCTCAATGACCAGCTGCTATTAATAAATGCCTCCCGTTACCCCAAATCTCACTGCACAGGGAAACAATGTCAGGGAGCCCCATGTGTAGATAAATAGGTGCCCATGATGGAGGATGCTGGTTACACTGTCCCTGGTGAGCTGTCGCGACCTGTGCTGTCCAGCACAGCAGCCACTGGCCACGTGTGGCTCCTGAGCATCTAAACTGTGGTCAGCACAGCAGCCACTAGCCACGTGTGGCCACGGCACAGGGCCATGGGCACTAGGTGTAAATGACATATCAGATCCTGAAGATAGTACCAAAAAGTGCAAAATATCTCAATAATGTTTTACTTTGGATATATTAGGTTAAAATATATTCAAACTAATTTCACCTGTTTCTCTTTTAACTTCTTAAAATGTGCCTGCTAAATGTGATTGGCTGGCATCTATTTCTGGTGGACAGTGCTGGCCTAGACCCCTTCACTGGCTCCTCCAGTGGGCTCAGGGAGCCAGCCTGGGGGTGAGGACCAGGCTCAGAGGACACAGGCTGGATGGTGAGGCTGCCTTGCATCTGTCCCCATTAGAGCAGGTGTCTCTGGCCCTTGTGCGCCAATGGAGGTTTACAGCCAAGCCTGGAGGTTGGAGGGGGGGCTGCCTGACATCTTAAAACCCCAGGCAAGAGGCTGTGATGGCAATTTGGTTTCTCACAGCAGAGAAACTCACAAAAGGAGAGGCTGACTTGGCAAGAGGGGCTTGAGTTGGCAGACTTCCTGCAGCACATGGGAGGTTGAACTTTAGCTTGCAAGACAGACCCCCAGCAGGGCCACTGTCATTCAGTTTGACTGCTATTTGTCATTATGATCATTATTATTAAACTAAGATGAGCCCATTGCTTGGGGATATGTATCAGGATGTATAAATGGCTGCCTGTCTTATAAAAGTGAGCTATGAATGAGCTTTCTCTCAGCCTGGGCACAGGACGTGGAATAAACGGGGCCAGGGAGCAGCCTCTCATCTCTTACCGGGCCAAAGGCCCACAGCGCTGGAAGGATGTCATATTTTCATCTGACTACCCCTGAGCACAGTCCTCAAACCTCACGGTGCTGAGCACCACTCCTGTGGAACACTGGGGAAGCCGAGGCACGGCAAGCTCAAATGTGGTGACACAGTGGGAAACTGGCAGGGCCTGGATCCACCCTGGGAATGGGACAGGGACATTGGACCTATTACCTCTGAGCCCTCTGTTTACTCTCCCTTCCTGTTCTGCTTGATAAGAGACAACAACGTTGACTGTGAATATAAAAACACATTGTGGCTTAAAACATCATTTACGTGGCCCATGGCCAGGGCCCCACATGGCCTTAGGCTGGGCCCATCTCTAACATTTGGGGGTGGGGAGGATCCAGGTGCATGAGGCCCACACTCCAAATGTCTAAATATATGTCACAAATCGAGCTAACAAACTGTCGAATACAGCACGTTCTCTCCTTGACAAAAGTACTTTCCTGTATCGGTCAGCTCAGACTTCCATACAAAATACCACAGACCAAGTGGCTTAAACAACAAAAATTTACTTGCTCACAGTTTTAGAAGCTGGACTTCCAAGATCAAGGTGCTGGCAGGGTTGGTTTCTGGGAGGCCTCCCGGCTGCAGGCAGCAGCCTTCTCAGCAGGTCTCACCTGGCCTTTGCCGAGTGTGCTCTCCTGGGTTTCCCTCCTCTCCATAAGGGCACCAGTCCTATCAGATTAGGGTGCCACCTAATCACCTCATTTAACTTGACCTCCTAAAGGCTCTACCTCTATGTACAGTCACGCTGGGGATTAGGGCACAACACATGGATTTTGGGGACACAGGTCAGTCCATTTATACCTCCCAATGATCCGGAAGGCCAGATTTGACGTTAGAATTCATGGACCCCTTAGATTCCACTCTAGCAAGTGGAGACCCAGCCCGCTCCACTTCTCTTCCCAGTCCCCGCTCATCACATCTCTGAAGAGCCTTGTGCATCCCGTCTGCGTGTCCAAGCTCTGTCCCACAGTCCCCTGGGAACAGCGCCCACTGACCTCTCCATCGGACACAGGAGTGCACACAGCAGCAGGGTGGTGTCCTAGGAAGGATGGATCTTGGGAAGGGAATTCTCGGGCCCTGGCTGGGTGTGTCCCTTTGTCCCAACAGACCCCTAACCCTGTAAGGAAGAGCTAAGGCTGAGGCAGACAACAGCTCGCAGGCGAAATCCAGCCCGCCTCTTGTGTGTGTACAGCCTGTGAGCTAAGCACTGCTTTCCCATTTTTAAATGTAAAATGAAAAATGTAAAAAAGACTATCAGTCTTTTGGCATTGTCACTCCACTTTGCCTCTTGGCAAAATCTAAAATGTAGATTAAGGCAAAGC